GAAGCTGTCTCCTTTGGCAGATACATCCCTAGCCCCTCCTTCAAACAATCCAGCACCTCGTGCCTTTCCAACCCGATCTGCTGGATCTCAATTTCGGGTTTGTACTTTTCGAAAGCATCTTGCACTGCTTGTACAACGTCCTCCCTACGAAGCTCCTGCACGCGCGGCTTGTTGGCTTGCGAATCCTTGAGTGCAGCACGCATGCTATTGTAGATCTCCCTGTAATCGATCATGGAGTCGATTCGAGGCGCTGCCGCAACTGTCTCCTGCGCCTTCTTGCGGTGTTCGTGCACGATGCTGACCATGTTCTGGCGCATTTCCTCCAGGCCGTCCGAGACAATCTTGTTCATGGCTTCCTTTGTAGAATTGTCTACGGGGAGGGTTTGAGGGGACTTGGAGGAGACTTCGTTAAGTCGGCGACCGATTTCTTGGCCCATGTCGAGGACCTCGCCGCGCAGTTCCTTGACGAGAGACTTGACGTCACTGGTAAGGCTACCGCCTTGGGCCAGGTGGTCCTTGACTACGCGCAGGGCGGAGAGGATTTCATCATTCATGGAATCGGTGGCACGGGAGCTGAGGGTTTGAGTTGGTGAATTTCCAGATTCTTCGAGGAATCGGCCTACGCGAGAGTTTCGGCCGTCTTCGTCTTCGCTGAAGCTCCAGGCCTTATTGCGACCGCCGCCACCACCACCTCTCCCTCCTCCGCCAGTAGCTGGTACGAGAGCATGTTGCTGATTGGCTTTGACCAAACGGATGATCTCCTCTAGCTTTTCAGACATGGAAAAGCCGGAGAGCTGACGGGCGAGTTCATTAAGTCTCGAGAGAAGCGATTCTTGGCCCTCTTTCGTTCCCATGTCGCGAAGGATCTTTTCTAGAAGAGCAATCGACGATGTATCGGCCACCAGTGATGGTGTGCTTAATAGCGACTCTCGATCAAGCGACGCTCCAAAGCTATGTGGCGAAGGTATCCGCGGTAGGGAAAACGGTCGCGACTTTAGCGACGTAGGCGATGGTGGACCCCCACCGTACGCTTCCCTCTGCGCAGCCCTCGACTTGGCCTCGGTGATCAACTCTCGCAAGCTCCTGCGAATGTCCTCATCGCGCTGATTGGTGGCCTCTTTCAAGCTGAGCAAGTCTGTAGCATTATCTCTGCTGCGCCTGCTAAGCGCCGACATTTCTCGTTGAAGAGCCGAAGCAATGTTGGTAAGGGTGATGAGCTGGCTCGACAGAGCCTCGAGGCCTAGGGGTGTTACAGTCGTCTTGGTCACTCCGCTGGAGCCGTTAGTGATGTTAGCGAGGGGATCCGAGTCCCTGACCGACGACGACGTTCCGAGGTTGCTGGCACTACTCATGTTCTGAAGGGCGAGCATGGTGGCCGACTGAGGAGGAGTGTTCTCGCCGAGGATGCTCTGATGTGGTCGCCGCATGTTGCTGGTGCTGTTGGCTTGGCGGAGGATGCTGCCGGGGGTCAAACTAGGACCCGTTCGTGGTGAACCCATGGTGGGGGCGGGTTTTAGGGTGTCTTCCTTTTCGTCCTTGAATTCGACGTGGTTCTCACGACTCCTCGTAGGGGTGGATGGCCTCTCGTATATGCTCTCGTACTTGCTCTCGTACTTATCGTGTTTGTTGTTTTCTTGCTTTTCGTACTTGTCAAACTTGGTGTCGAGTTTGCTATCGAATTTGAAGTCGTGCTTTAAGTCGTGCTTGAAGTCGTGCTTCTCTGGTGATCGTGAGGCTGATGTATTGGAGACGTAACCACTCTCAAGCATCAAACTAATATCCTTGACAGTGCTGTTCTGAAGGGAATTCAAACGGCGATGTGACGCAGCCGTAGCTGTGTTGCGCAAAGGGGGCCTCTCTGTCCTCTCTGGAGAAGGGTCACCCGCGGCGCGCTTGGGGATGTGTGGTACCAGGTTAGCACTCTCACGGGCCTTTTCCTGCAAGGCAGCATGGGCAGACTGGATCGCACTCGAGGTGCCAGCTCTAGAGACACCGGGAGACTGAGGGTTGAGTGGAAGCGGCGGTGGTGCCCTCTCGGGGTCTGAGCTATCCCACCTATTTTTCATTAGTTCCTTGAACAAGAGGGACATGACACCATGATGGTCTGCTGTTGGTGTTTTGGGGAAAAGAGGGGAAGCATCCTACATTGGGATCATGGCACGGCCATGATTATCAAACGAGGCGGAATGCGAGTGTCTTAAATCTCGGGGGAGCTGATGGTGCCCATGGTGGTCCCTCTCTGAGCCAGCGGGCGGCATGGCTTCAGCTGTGTGGGAGGTGTGTGTCGGGAAAACGAGGGAGGGAGTGAGAGAGGGAAGGGAGCCCAGGGCGGTAGGGCGGGCGCGGCCTGGCTGGCGTGGTGGGCGCGAACAGAACTACCACCCAGAGGTGTTTGAGAGTCAATCTGTTCCTGGCCTAAGCTGGGGATGAACCGGGGTGGTCGACCAAGGACCAGGGTCTTTCTGCCGGAGAACTAGTGTAGATAGTAGTAGGGTCCGGTCTGTGCGGTTGGTTACGCCAACAACAAGGACGGAAACGCGGTAGGATCCTGGGTCGGGTGTGTGGTGTCGCAATAGTGGAGGATGGCTTGATAGGACGAGGCCGAGATGGGAAGTAATGTTTCTGGTACTGAACAGTAAGAGGTTGGTAATCCGAATCGGTACCTGATTACCGACCCCTGTTTGCTGAAGCCGAGACCCAAGATGAAGGGTGACCTTGCTGTTTGGATATCGGACCGGTACTGTAAATACGGTATGACGGGTACAAGTATGTATTATGATGCGTGATATGGTATGGCAAACAATTTCCAGGGCTGAGACAAGTTGGAACAGAACCAGGAGGCGTTGATGGGCGGTACGGGAACCTTGATCAACCTGGGATATCGATCCGTGCTCTTCTTCTTTCAGTTGCCGTCTGTTCGTTGTTGTCTGGTCTCCCGTCTCTGTTCCGTTTCCTCTTTTCGGTTGGGTTCCAGAGTTGTTGAAGGCAACACAGCAGCTGTTGTTCGATTGTTCCCTCAGGCAGATAGGCAGTGCAAATATCCGATGGACTCCTCAGGTGTCGTCGTAGTAGTAGAAGTAGTGAATCCAGAATCCAAGCTGCAATATGGAAAACGGAGATAAGGAAAATCGACCAAATGAAAAAACAAACCACACAAGGACTATGTCGGTTGACGTGACTGACTGTCTCCTGTTGTATGGCTGGAGGGGTATATCCTTTCGAAGAGTCGCAAAGCAGCAAAATCGCCAAAGAAAAAAAAAAAAATAAGAAAAAAAGAAAAGGACTTAGCACAGCAGCTCTAAGCCTTCCTTGTTTCTGGTTGTCCAAGTCCAGTGTACTGCAGCAGATGGCGCAAAGCAGGGTATAATGGTCAATGCTAAGTCAGACAGAGTGAACTCCAGTCGCTGAAAGTGACAGCGAGCTGAGTGAATGGATGATGCCGTCCGTTCCAAGGAAGCTTCGTTGGTCTGATGTTGATGGTGTTTGCTTTGGTGCGAAGAGCGAACAGCTGGCTGGCTGACCTCCTTTCTCGCTGCTTTGACTTGGCCAGGCAACAACTCGCTGTGTGGCAGAAGTGAAAACTTGGACTGACGAGTGCCAGGAAGGAGGGGGACGAGCAACCTGAAATTCAGTCGGTTCCTTCCTCAACTAAAATCAAAGAAATCCGACTCGCGACCTGATGACCACCTACCTCGATATTGCACTCGTTCTTGCCCTTGTTCTTTTCTTGCGACAAACCCTGACGAGAACCCAACCTTGCCTGTTCCTGCCAAACCTGTCCCCAAGAATTTCCAACCCACGTTTCTTTCTCGGCGAGGGGCCGCCCGCCCAGGCCCAGAGGGGAGGCTGGGGTGGGTGGGTGGGTGTGGGTTGGTCAAGGGCCAAGCAGGGGTCTTTCAGGGCAGCCAGTCCACTAAATGTCGAGCCGTGGTGGACGGCAGCCCACCTTCCATGGTTCACACGGGAAACCATCAATCACATCACTGGCTCCCTTCCGCCCAACCAATCAATCTGTCCATTTGAGCTCTCTGACCCCATTTGGAGAGACCAATGAGCCAATCATCGTCTCAAATGTCTGTTGATTGTTTGTGCTCTTTCCCTCTGTCGTTGCTCTGCACAAAAGGCACCCTAGCAACGCGCGGTTAGTCGCGAACCAGGGTTGGCCTCCATGTGTGACCTCAGAGCGCAGTTCTACCTAGTCATTCCCCCCCCCTACAGTAGCCCAGGAGGTCACCGTCGGATCACAGGCTCTAGTTGCTTATCGATAAGGCTAAGTGAAAAAGGAACAAGGGGGGAAGAGCTGCGCGTCATCCTCCATGTCTTTCCCTCATCGATCATGAGTGGTGAAGTCTTGGCTTGAAAAGGTGAAGAAAACAGATGCGACAGTTGAGACGTGAATGCGGTAGAGGTACGTATCAAATGTTGGTGACGCTCACCGCAAGAATTGTTAGGTAGGTATCCAAGCTCTGTCGTCACTGCCACAGGTCCAAGCTCCCTTCAGGTGGCCCAAGCTTCAAGGCGCACAAACTCCGAGTCCAGCATTGTGCTCCACTGATTTGCAGTGGTCCTGCAGAAGCAGCAGACTGGAGGAAGCTCTTGCTTTTTGGGACTTCCATTGCATCTCCCGTCTTCCAGTCCTTGGGATTCCATCAGTTTGTGAGACGTTTGAGGGATCGAGTGCGCTACCATTTTTCATGTCGCCAAGATGAAAACTTAACGCACTTGATGGCTGTTTCCAACTATCATGTGAAATGCCCAAGTATTGAAAAACTGCGGTGGGATGCATCTAGCCGGCTGCAACACGGAAAGTGCACACAACTTCCCACGAGAGTTTGACAAAGCCTCCCGTCGACATTCAAGTGGCAACCCAAGTCACAAACCCCAAAGACCACACATAACGAACTTGAACACCACCACTCTTCAACGCCAAACCAAACCATGCTTTGTTTTTCCGTGAACCATTAAATGCAATACACAATCCCCATCTCATCATCCCCTCTCTAGACAACAAGCTTCGCATCTTGCCTACTCCCCCTCTCTCCAAAAATCGTGCTGCCCACTCTCACCTCCCCACTCCCCATGGCAATCGCCCCCTCGAAATCCTCACTCATGCCCATACTCAACTCCAGACTTCCCTTGTCCAGCCCCAACTCCTTTTCCACCAGGTCCCTCTGCCCCCTCAGCACCATGAAATCCTCATTTTCGTTTTCGGGAGTCGTCGCCTTGCTCCTCGCAATGGCACCAATCGTCATCAGTCCCAGCAGATTCAAGTGAGGACACTCCGTGACGATGGCCTTGCACAGATCGATGGTTTCTTGACCTGGAGAGCATCCGGATTTGGACTCCTCGCCCGAGGTGTTGACTTGCACGTGGACGTTCAACTTGGGAATAGAGGGGTCTGAGGAGATGACTTCGCCGCGGACGCGGTTGAGGGTCTGGGCCTTTTTGAGGGAGTCCAAGGAGGACACGGCCCAAAGGTTGGGGATGCGGGCTAGAGACTTGCAGTGGGCTGTTCGTTCCGTTAATTTGTAGTCACCTTCCTCATAATACTCTGCAGGTGAAGGCCTAACTGAAACGCGTGGGAAAAAAAAAAAAAAGAAAAAAGAAAAAAAAAGACATACTGGTCTGAAGGCCACCAATGAAATGCCACTGGATACTCCGCGGCAAGAGTTCCGCCTTCTGCTGCAGCTCCTGCGCATAGTTTTCGCCGAAATGGGCATGCTGGACTTGGGGAGCCTGGTGAAGCGCCAAAATGTCGTTGGCGGGCTTGAGCTTGGACACGGCCACGAGCCGGACAGGGCGACCTTTGGCGACGGCGAGGATGCGGTCTTGCACGCTTTGGAGCTGGGAAACGAGCGCGGAGGCCCGAGCGGGGTCGATCTTGAGAGGGGTTGAGCTCATGTTGAATTACTCGGTAGGTGTGAAGTTGTGAGGGGTGTGTTTTGTAATGTCGTGATGTTGGGGTGAGTGAGTGAGTGAGTGACGTCGACGGGGATATCAGATTTGGAGATTTCAAAAATGAGGTTGTCACGGCCGGCCTGTGTCCCGCATCCATCGATTGGAGTCCAGAACCTCCGCTGGGGCTTAACTCACTAGGTACTTACCCGTAGGCACAGGTGGTCTTTTCCCGCTGTTCATCCGCTGCATGAACCCTGCAGACCCGCCCTGAGTTTGCGATGCGCCCCTGCAGAAATTGTTAGTGCGACACAGGGCAGTTTGTGACTTTTACAATGGAGACGCCATACGGACGGGATCGTTGACGGCTCGAGGACCAGAAAACGTGTCACTTTGTATTGGGATACGTTTGCTTAGACTAAGCAGTGTTTAGAATATTTATGGTTTTTCTTAGACATGTTGAAAGGTCCTTTGTCCGCTACGTCGATCTGTCCCGGCTTCGTCCCTCGATTACCCGTTTAACACAAAACTAAGCTATGAGCATGGAACTCCTCACCCCCGGGGTACGTTAGGGGGTGGAACATCTGCACTTCGACTTCAACGTCGTCACCTCTTTCCTTCCTCTTTCACCAAAACCTCGACCTACAGATCATGAACCCCAAACACGGGCTCTAGATACCCGACAAGCTCGACTACTGTTCACTTCTTCTCGTTTGCTTTTTCATCGGTCATTCTCATCGTCAACTCGTTACACCAATTACCTGATTACCCCTGTACTCTGTTGACGCCGATAACAGACGGCTCGGAATTGCGACATCATCAGCATCGGCATCATGGTCCTACATCGTGAGTCGACCGGTTTTCTTCAACAACCCTACCACGCTTGAACTCCCATGGCTGCCGGTTGAGAAACGCAATCTTCATACCTGATAGGCTTTCATGCTGCCCATTCGCCAGCTGGATGTCGCGCGCTGCTTCCACGGCCAGCTCCATGCCTCAATATGTACTTTTCGTACTATCAGAGTGCAGAAACAGATACTCACAAGATGACTCACCTATCGTCAACCCTTTCCGACAGCAGATCATGGTAGTCACTCGCTGTCTACGCCTTTTCGAGTGGCGTATACCTTCTCCTCCCCGCGTTATTCAGCAGTGTCCAGTGACCATCTTCATTCCCGCGATGGGATCATTTCAGTCATCGCTCAGGGCCCTTACCAGACCCGGCCCCTGAAATGCTACTTCTGTTGATGAGGTGTCATTGATGACTGAAGTACCCATAGCCGAATACGTAGGCGAAAGAGAAGGGTGAACAGGCAAGTGTCGAGCGGGAAATAACATGAAAACTGGAGGGCCATCAACCCTACACTCGTCAACATTACGACCGTACTAGCTGGCGCAGAAATGTTGACGCTGACTTCGGTCAAGACAGTTGGTCCGTCCCACGCCAAAGCCCTAATCAAACCCAAAAGCCCGGTTCTCCTCAAAGTTCATCTCCTTCCAATTCCCCGCTCTGCACCTATGCCCATTCTGCCTCTCCTTCAAAATTTGAGCTTTCTCCTAGTGGAACCGGGCCATAATCCCTCGTCAGAACTTGTTCAGCGACAAGGGCACCATGTCTGATCAGGAGTCCGACACCTTTCATGAGAAATTTCATCCTCTGCGTCTTCTCCCTGCCCCAGACGTGAAATGGGACGTGAACAGACGGCAACGAGCTCACAAGGATGACGTCGTAAGGCCTTGCGAGACATCGAGCACAGGCGGGGATTTAAGTGGTGGTACCTGCACCCGCAGGTGCAAGCAACCATCGCCTCTACCGACTCTGCCAAAGTTGATTACCAAAATTATGCGCCAAACGCAGGTACTGATCGTCAACAGGGGTATGACGACCCTACTTAAGCTTCCCAATGGTTCGATGTCCTACCCATCGGCGGACATTCCCCCATGAAAATCCATACGGTTCATCTCTCCCATGGGCTGAAGAAGGGGCCGTTCGCGGCACATCCAGTTGTACGGGATAATGACTTTCAAGACGGACACGAAACGTGCCCAGAAGTGGATCGAGTCCTTTCCTTCCCAAATTCCCAAGGACCTCATCACTCGCGCGGCCCCGGCCGTCCACCTCTCCCGCCGCGACTCATCGACACCCTGCTCCTGTCCGTACCTTACTGTCCAGTCGGAAAACTTTCATCCCTACTTATAAGACAGAACGTCTTTTCCTCAAGACGCCGGCGATTACTTGGAACATATCAGATGCCCCAATACCTCGCACCCGGTTGTGAAATCCAAAAGGGCTGGAAGTATCTCGCAGCGTCATCGTTCTCTTGTTGACGGTCTCTTCTGCGACAGAATCTATTAAACTGCCCACATGGATCCTTGTCCCACCTCTTCTTCTTCTTCGGGACTTCGGCCTCCGAAGGGGCCTTGTTGTGCTCCTCAACATGACTTTGCTGGGCATGACTTGGAGGTTGCCAGAAAGATGGCTCTGTATGCGGCAAATTAGGCCGTGGTTGGCCGTAGCCGTACCACTACCGATGTATAGGCGTGGGCGATTGTCCCCATTCTTCTTAAGAATAAGGAGGTATACCCCCCAAAGGTCTTGCCCGCAAATAGGTGAAAGGCCTTTAAAATAGGCTAGAGGCGGCGGCGTTGGTTTATTGAGTAGGGATTCGAACCCAGGGGCAAACTCCAAATCGGACCAAAGCAACAAACTCGCCAATTGCTTTTCATCACCAAAGAGAGGCCGATAGTTGGGATGGATCTTTTTCAGATCCTGGACTATGCTCCATCCAACAAACGCCAACTTTTCGAGGAAAGTAGACGGGGTCGCAGCCACTTGGTCGGCTAACCGTTGACTTTTACCAGCCGTGGTCGGCTGGTTCTCGGATTCGAACTACCTCTAGGTAGTCAATCGTCAAACTCGTCTTCCCAGCCAGCCTCGGCGTCTTCTCTGGCCTTTGCGGCCGCCACATTTGCCTTGTGGCGAGGCAGGGAATTGTAATGGCGTTGGTGCCAATCCGATGGAAAGGCCACCGAACAAGCTTCGCAAAAAAGGAGGCGGGCTTTTTTGACCAATTTTCTTTTGGCGTGCTCGACGGGGTTCCACTTTGCGTTGGACCGTGCTGTAAAGGCCTTGATAGAGGCCGGGTTTCGATCCGACCTCTGCCGCAATTTTTTGAGCCGCCGCTTGTTGTTGCTTCTGAACGGTCGAAAATTTCCGTTCGTTAGGTTGTTTGATGGTCAAATGGGTCATTGACCCTCTTGCGAATTCCGTGAGACAATGGTGGGAGCAAAGCCCCGTCCAGGGCAATTCGTCGGTTGGCCAGACCGACATGGAGCGGTATGGCCGTTTTGGATCCTCGATTGGGTGCATCGTCCATAGGATGGACGAGAGAGTGCCCGATTGGAGGGTTCGGGGATTGGGAAGGACGCCAGGACAGCAGTGTGGGTGAGGTGGTAACCACTTTCGGCTGGTTCTCGGACTCGAACCGAGTAATCGCCATTTTCCTTTTGTTGACGCGCCGTTCAACGGTATCAGCCTCCCGAACCAGCTTCTGGTCCCGGCGGTCGGCTTCCAAGGCAGCCAGTTCAACAGTAGCGTGGGCCGTGACACCCAACGCATCATCCCGCTCAAACTTGGCCACGCGCTTGGCAGTCTTGCCCTTGCCGGCAATCTCAGCGACTTGACGGGCAGTCTTTTTGGGAGACATGGTGGTGGTTGGTGGTGATGGTGCTGATGGTGCTGATGCTGGCATCCCGCTCGAACTGGGCAATCCGCTTGGCGGTTTTTCCCTGGCGGGCACGGTGGGCACGTTCGCCAAAGTGGTGGCTCTTGCTGGAAGACATTGTGGTGGTGGTGTTGGTGGTGGTGGTAGCGGTGGTAGTGAGTGGTTCTGGTGCTGGTGATGCTGTTGGAGCTACTGGTGCTTCTGCTGGTGTTGGAGCTGACGATGGTGAAATGTACAAATAATGTTCGAATATCGGATGGAAGACTTTGATCGCGTCAGGATGTCGATAGTCAGTCACCGAAGGAAGAAATGGAGCCAAGAACCTGAATATCCACCTCGAGGTACCTATTATCGTGAATACACACCTATTGTCCGTGAACATACACTGGTTGTCCATGAACACCAGATGAAAAGCCAAGAATAGGTAGGTAATTCAATATCAGGTTAACGGTTCCAGGTCGGGAAGTGAATGTGGAAAATGCGAAAGCTCGAGTCTGCAAGATAAACTCCTTCCTTCCTGGTTGCTCGCGGTTTTCAAACTTACCTCGAATATCGCACTTCGAGAAACAAATATCAACCAACCTCAGTTGACAACTTCTGATACGCGCTATCACAAAACGTCGTCTTCGCCATTAAACACCTCTATTTTCTCGACTAGAGGTAATCTCGACTCAAAAGAAAACACCATTCTCATCACGCGCAACTGGTCTCGTCGCATTGCATCCAATCGCCCCCCATCTTCAAAATGTCGGCTCCAATCGAACAATCCATCTACTTGAGAGACACGAACCAGAACGTCGTCATAGACGTCACCGTTTCGGGCGCTCAAAGCTTCACGTTTACGCTTGTTACCGGACAGTATTTGGTAAGTGTTTACAACCTATCTCTGCCTTTACCTTACTACCTACACGTCCCCCGCCATCTTCTTCGCATTAGAAGGGGAGGCGTATACTAATCAGATATCTGCTACCTACGTGGTACCAGAATCAGCACCCGCCGGCTGAGCTCAACTTTCATCCTGTTGTCTTCCAAAATGTCGACTTCCTCGACATCCACAACCATGGGCATGATTTCGTACAGGCACCGATCCGTAATCTGGAGGAGCTCCAGTACGAGCCAGTCGACGTTCCGAACTTGAACATGGTAAGTGTTCACCCACCCATCATCCCCATCCATCCTCCAAGCAAACCAGAGCCAAGCGTTAACGGAATCTACCAGCAGCTGGGTGTGCCCGCTGTGCCCGCCGTACCGGCAGTCCCCGCTATTCCCGCCATTCCAGGCTTCCCAGGCTTCCCAGGCTTTCCAGGCTTTCCTGGTATTCCTGATATTCCTGCTGTTCCTGCTGTTCCTGCTGTTCCCGCTATTCCAGCCATTCCCGCTGTGCCCGCTCTCTATCTCCCAGATGAAGACGTCTCAGAAGAACCCACCGTCGTCCGTCATCCCCAACCCAAGAGGAAGATCCCGCGGGCCTCCAAAGCCGCCAGATCTCAAGCCTGGAAAGCACTGATGAGAAAGTGGGAGATTTCCACCATCACGCGCATGGCCCTCCGCCGCCGCAAGCATGGCTCTAGCTCGCGATTCCGCAAGCCGTCCAAGCTCCGTCGCCAGTCGCCCACGCCTACCGCTGCTATGCCCGCCGCTGCTATGGGAACGGCCCAGAACTCGATTGAGCCTACGATCAAGATGGAGGAGGAGGAGGAGTAGAGGAGGGGGTTTGGGAATTTGGAGGAGAGGGTACCTCTACCTAGGTAGTTGGGATGAGCAAGTCCACTTGGGGACGGGAGCGAGGAAAGAGTGTATGATGGAGTCCAGGGTGTTGGGGGAAAGGAAGATTGGAGTTGCTTCGCTAGAATCAGTCAGGACCTGGGAAAGGACGGGAGTGTAGGAGGGACCCGACGGATGTCTTGTGAAGCCGATTGACAAGGACAGAGGACGTCCATCACGGTATCATTGAGAGTCTAGAAGTGTACCTAGAGGTAGGTACCTCTACTGTATCTACAGGCAGTTGCGCCTGGGCTGGAGGGGTAGATGCCCTGGAGATCAGAATGGCGTGGCTAGTACCTCTAGAAGGCGTCCCAGAAGAAGGAGAGAGCGGTTGACAGGGAAAGGAGCAGGCAGGAATAGCATACAAGGCAGGACTCGGAACATGAAAAGAAAAGCGGAGATAATAGATACGTCTAGGGTACTACCTTCCTCACGGCACTCTTGTGTCCGTCGTGCCGACAACTTGAAGTAATTGCGTCCGTTTTCCCTTGCCAATTTTCTTGGGATTTCGACTTCCGTTGGTCGTAAGACTCCGACTATTTCCTCCCTCGATGTCCTCATTAGCCCAATCATACCTAGGTACGACGGAAGTCGTCATAGTTGAACTTTGGTGGCTTCTCTTTGACCACGGCCTTTTCCTGGTCGATTTGAACCCCCAAGTCCTTGGCACCCCTTAAAATCAGCACCCCATCACTCAGCAGGTTCTTGAGAGGGTGGCTTCGGGAAGTTAGCTTCTTGATGACGGCACTGCTGGTCGTTTCCTGCTCAACGCGTTCCCTAGTGGCCTGCTACGGCTTACCATCGGGTTGTGTGAGATGGGCAATTCTATCCACCATTCCAACATACCAGAAGCCTCGGAATTTGTACCGGCTCGCCTCGTCCCCCAGTGGATGGAACAGACCGCCTTTGGCTGTGTGGCGTGCCGCCTTGGACGTTTGCCCTAGATCGGAGCGTACTCTGGGTAATCCCCTTCCTATTGTGGTTCTGTTGTTCTATTGTGCCTCTCGTGAGACATGGGATGGAAATCTGTCAATAGGTGAATGTGAATAAGGTTACCGTCCATCAAGAACCTGCAAGTGAAATGTGTGGCAGCTGGCAGGATCATTCAATGCTCGTCCTTCCCCATCTATAAAATCTTTCCATCAAGACTTGGACCCGAAGTCGAACGTCGTCTCTTCTCGAGAACTGGAAACCACATTACTTCGAACTCACACACCAAAGTCATCACAACCTTTTCTCATTTTCTCCAACCATCTCCTCCACTCACAGAAAGTCAGCCAAATGGCTTCCACCACGGCCATGACCAAGCCTTGGCTCGAGCATGACGCCATTTCCATCCCCGCGCCGCGCTACTCGCCGCCAACGGATGCAGATGGCAAGCCCATCTTTGCCCCCACGGAGAGCAAGGTCAGTTCGAATTCATCCCTCTCCCCCATCCTTCCTTGGTGAAAAAGAAATACTAACCTCACTCCCCAATTCACAGAAGCCCTCTACGGCAGACTTTCTCCGTCCTCCCCGCGATGACGAGGGCAACCTTGTCACCCTCCCACTGCTCGCCGCTCTCCGCGCCCGCAAGGCTGCTCGCGCCGCTGCCTCCGCTGCTTCTCCCAAGAAGAAGACCAAGACCAAGACCGTCGGCCCCAAGAAGAACGACCCGCGCCCCGTTTTCTTTCCTGGCTGCATGCCCGGCTCCCAGCCCGGCCGCGTCCTCTGGCTGCAAGGCCTCGATTACTTTGCCGCCTCCCGCGCTGAACTCAAGGCGGGAAAGAAGGGTGGAAGCGGCAACGGTCGTAGTCGCCCGCCGAAGCACGTTCGCGAGCAGAATGCACACAAGGAGGAGGCGCTAGCTGAGAAGCAGTGCAAGTTCATCGAGAAAAGTTGTCCGGGGGTGAAGTATGGGGAGGATAAGGAATGGAAGAGAAGGGAGAAGGAGGAGAAGGAGAGGGTGGGGAGGGAGGCGATTGTCAGGAGGATCAAGGAACAGATTGAGAAGGGGGTTCGATATTGAAGACGGGGTGGTGGTGGGATGCTGAGGATTGGTAATAACTACCTACCTACGAGTAACGGGATACTATGTTGGCAATGAGAAATGAATTGGGAAAGGATGAACAGAGATATAACCAGGGACAATACCCCTTGATGAATATACGCATGCTCCTACTTCAGGTACATTAAGGGTTTTTGACAAAAGAAAATGTGAGGTTGATACCACCATCCAGTCGTAACTGTAGAGACCTTCACTCCCCTTATTTATGGCCTTCTCCTCTCCATACTCTCTCCTCGTGCTCCCAGTCCAGTTAGCAACCAGCCAGCTGGTCCTCGCCATACTCACACAACCAGGTCATCATGTTCTTGAGTGCAGATGATACCTCCATTTCTTGCAGTGAGAGAAATCGGGTTTCAAGTTACTTACGCCGCCGACCACCAAGGCACGTATTTCACACGGCATTGATCTGTCGAATCACTCCAGTCGATGCTAGGTCAAAGCAACCTCCATAGAGGTATGTATTTAATCCGAAAAATGTTTTGAATTTCTCGAGTCACATAGGTACAATGTATTAAAATTGCAATAGGGATGTGCAAGAGTCTGTAAGGCAGGTGCCCTTCTACACTACCTAGCAAACCCCTCCTTCCTTCATAACATGTCTACACCTCCCACTTCAGTTCTATCAAGATGCCCTGTCCTTTCTCCCCTAATCCGGTAAACCCAGCCAAAAGCCAACTCGCAGTGGAAGTGGTCCAAAATACATCTGCGTGAATAGGTACCATTTCAATGGTACAAGTGCACCTCAATCTCTCGAGACAAGGCGCGATCGACCGGGTTTCCCTCAAGCAATCCCGTGTACCTCTCACGGCCGCCGACGATGGACGACGGTACCCGAAGCTCAGACTCGTATGCTTGTTCCAACTTTTCCTTTGTGGACCGAATAGCCGTCGCTTCGCTAACAGCTTCTTGCCTTTCATCCGGCGACAAATTTTCAATCGAGACACGCCACCGATCGAAGACAGGACGGCTCAAGTCGTACATGGCCTGCGTGATTTGGCCGCGCTCCAGATATCTATCGAGCTCTGCCACTCTGGCCTGGCATAGGTCGCACATTTGCTGAATCTCGAGAACTGACCCGTTGACAAAGTCGCGCAACTTGGGAGGGCCGCCGCTGGTGTGGTGCGTAGTGGTGAGCTCGGTGTACCGCGCGTTCCAGATGCAGGCTTCCACATATTCCTCCAAGGTGAAATGCCTGTCTGATTCTTTCAAGCAGAAATAGAGACGGTCGAGGACCGGGGTGGGCGGTTTAACATCGCTGTCCTTCCAGCCTTTAAGAGCCTCCAACTCCCGCTCAATAAAGGGGACTTGGTGCTCAGTGTCCTGCAAGTCGAACCACGACCAACCCGTTTCCTTCTTTGCATCCTCTTTGCACTTCTTATCGTTGGCGCGCACCCCTTTGTTTTTCAAGGCTTTTTGGTGCGCCTTCTTGCGTTCCTTCTTGTGGGCTTCTCTGGCTTTTTTCTCATCCTTTTCGTCAAAGGCCCAACGTACAACAGTAGCCGCCCCTTCGTGCATTTCATATACAAGTTTCGCTTTGACTTCATGTTTCTTGTCCGAAACATGCTTGACGACTCTTTCGAAGAGAAGCTTGACAAAGAGATAAAAGGCTCCGTCCTGAACAACCGATTCACGGCTCATTTTGCTAGCCTCGGTGTGAAGAAGCTGCAAGGCCGAGACCAGTGTGGGTGAATTCAGTATATCCGAGGTCGTAAACAGGTTGATAAGTCGCTGCGATTCATCGGCAATCTCGCCCGCAGGCCTGGACTGCCATTCGATCTCCGCTTCGTTCGACATTGTTATCGCTTTGTTGCCGGAGGTGATGTGGTGGGGTGTTCGGACTTGGTAGGTGGAACGGGGTGTAGACCGAAGAGAAAAGAGGGAAGTCCGAGGTCGACGTGTGAGGTGTTACTGCTTCGTTGGTGTTCAAGTAGAGGGAGCGAGTATCAAAGAGAGAATGAGGAAAGAGAATGATCAGGTCGAGAGCGGATGCTGTGGTAGTGTGGTGGCGTATTTGGCCTTGGTACCTCTATGGGAGTGTGTCTGAAGACTGAAGAGAAGAGGGGAGAGGAAAGTCTTGGGATTAAGGGTGGGCATTGAGGAATTCTTATATGTTCTCGGGGCTGTTTGAATGTGCTCTAGAAGGTACCTACATGTAGTATGCGTCGTGGTGGGCGTACACCGACGTATAACCGGACTTCCGACTATACATACCTCTAGGTAGAGATATTCTGGAGGTTTTGTAGAGGTCAGTACGGGCATAAAGAAAATGCTCGATTTTTTAATCATACATGAGGCACATGTAACACGAACGCGAGGCTCCTGCAAAGACTCGTGCCATCCGTTCTCAACCACCAAGGAAGCAGGCATATATGTGGTTTGTAAGCATACTGCAACATTTATGCCGGGTAGAAGAAGATAAGGCACTTGGGAAATTGAATCTACAGTATTTCGGGGCTGCAACACGTCTCCCGAAATATTTTTTTTGGCTGGCATACGCATGTCTGTCTGCATGGGGTTGCCTGCTACCTAGGTACCTTTACCACTATGTCTGAATTCCCTGGAAGTTAAAAGCGGATATGTTGCCCGATTCTTTGCGGCATATGCATCACCGGATTTCCGAGTACTGTAACCAAATCCTACCTCGAGGCTTTATAAGAGGGTCGGGCATTGTGTTTTTTTATACCGTCCCTACCACGCAGTTATCTGTACCCAGCTTCGGCGAAACCTTGCTTTATTTGTCAATCAAAGGGCGAAAGAAATTACAGCATAAGCGGCACGCTGCACGATAGGACAATAGGAGGTGGGTAAGACCGACAGACAGGTTCAGTCCATGGGGGCTGGGCCGAGAAATACCAAGGGCACTACCTAGGTACAGTTTGAGACACCATCAGTCTCTTGTAGGTAGCTAGATATGTCTGAAGTACAGATGGGCGACCGGAACAAACATTGTCATGGGATATTAACGGCCCAATTAGACCTGGAAAAAGTTGAGACACGGATTGATGTAGACACTCACTATTATAGCGGAATGCATATGAATCTTGGATAGACAACATGCCAGAATCTTCAACCCAGTCCTTCGAGCAAAGCGAGGTCCCTCACCTCCCCAAATGGGACTGCCAGAGGCATCACGGCAGTGAGCAGTAGGCGGGATGTGCAATACAAACAAGTAACCGTACTCCATTAGCATGCTTTTCCTGCCAAAATAATATAACCAACCATACATCTGTATCATACACCACCGATAAACTCCTTTTTATCCCCTTGCCATGTCCCAAAGACCATACCTACCCCCTTGACATCTACTAAACACCAACTCCCAACCCCTTCTTAGTCGGTGCCTTGGGCCCAATTCTCTCCTTCCCACCCATCCACCCCCTCAACACCTCGGGGATGACCACCGTTCCAGTCTCCTCATCCCAGCCATTCTCCAACAACGCGGCCAGCACTCTCGGCACCGCCATGGCCGTCCCGTTCACCGTAAACGGATAACCGCCCTCAATCATCTTGCCATCCTCGCCCTTTAGCCTCGTCGCCAGCCTTCTAGCCTGATAATCAGTGCATATGCTCGCGCTCGTGACCTCGCCCCACCCTTCGTTGCGTTCCCTTCTGCTGGGGAAAAAGGCCTCAATGTCAATCTTGCGCGTGGCCGAAGCGCCGAGGTCGTGCGTGGGCATCTCTAGCACGCGGCAGTGCAGACCGAGGGAAGACAAGAGGTCGGTTTGCAAGTCGACAATCTCGTTGAACACGTCGGTCGCCGAGTCGAGAGAGGGGTACGTCCATCCGAAGAGCTCGACTTTGGTGAATTCGTGCACGCGATACAAGCCCTTGGTCTCGAGGCCGCGGGAGCCGGCTTCGGCACGATAGCAGCGCGAGACGGCGACGTATTTCAGGGGAGAAAACTCGGAGATGTCGCCGGGGCAGAGAAGCATTTTGGAGGCGTGCATGCCCGCGAGCGGGATCTCTGAGGTGCCGGCCATGGAGAGCTCGGGCTTGCCGCGGGCGGCGTCGTCGGCAGATTGGGCGAGGGCATAGATCTGCGTTTCGCCGTTCTGGTCGCGCGGCTGGAAACCGCAGGCCGAGGCGATGTGCGAGTAGACCATGGAGGGCGGGCTGACTTGGCGCCAGCCGGAGCGCACGGCGAGGTCGAGGGCGTAGGCGATGAGTGCTTGCTCGAGCTGGGCAGCTTCGTCAAGGAGGAAGTACCAACCCCAGCCGGAGGTGGTACCGGCGGAGGCGAAGTCGAGAAGACCCAGCTCGTTGCCAATGTGAACGTGGGAACGCCAGACGCGGTCGGAGGCCGAAGGGACGGGTTCGGGGTGTTCGTTGATCAAGGACAGAAGTTTGGGTTCGGGGCCCCGGGGGGATTCTTCCGAGGTGAGGTTGGGGATGGCCAGGGCGAGGGACTCGATCTCGGATAGAATACGTGTTTCTTCGGTTTCGATGGTCGAGAGGAGGGACTTGAGCTTGCGGGCTTCGGCAATGAGTTCGTCCCTCGTCAGGAACTTGGTGCCCGCGGCGATGGTGTCGGCATTTTCGTCGCGGATGGAACCGGGGTCGGTGAGCTGGCGGCGCAGGATATTGGAGCGTTCACGCAGAGAGCGAGCCTCGCGCTGCTTGGCTTGCCATTGGGCGTGGAGGTCGTTGATGCGTTGTGGGTAGGAGGCTTGTTGGTGATAGTTGCGGTCGATGCAGTTTTGGGCGTAGAGGTCTGGGTTTTGGCGGATGTGCTTGATATCGACGACGGGCTTGGGGGCTATGCTTGGTCGAGAAGCAGCAGCTGGGGAGTCTGAGGATTGTTGTTGTTGTTGCTGTTGAAGGAAGCGGGAGCTGTTATGGAGGGAAGCGATGCGCGGTGTTTGTATAGAGGTAGCAGTGGTAGGTCGGCGGAAGACGGGGCGTGTCCGGGAGAGGCATTGGAGACAGGTGTAGGGCCGCATGGCCAGTCGCGACGGTCTCATGGTGGGTGGGCGATTGACGTTGTTGATGTGAATGTTATAAGGTATTAAGTAGATACGAGTCTACGGACTGACTCTACTAGCAGCTGAGTTCTGAAGTCGTGGTGGTTGACGAGACAACGGTCGTTATCGAGGTTATTGTGACACCTTATCGCGGGGAAAATTAAGTGGAGAGAACAGGACGGGTGGGCGGGAGCTATGACCAACAGCGAGCTTTCATCATTCCATGCATTGAATTGGAGTGTGCGACTGTAACGGTTGCAGTTACGGTAACAGTACGTGTAACAGTGACAAAACAGCATGTCGAGGCCTTGATTGAACGTTATGGATTGTAATTCGGCTAGTCGTCGTCAGCCGCGGCAAATGGTCTGTGCATCTCCCGTCCATTGACTCAAGCGAACTGGATTGGACCACTTTCACGATGGCTACTCTGACGTCATGTTCAATATTGTCGACCTCAATAGTCTCGTTGGTGGTGCACACTACAGTAGGTAGTCTACTATGTATTAGTGCCGTTCTTCAGCCTCAACACGGCACGGCACGGGACGGCAGAATGCGGGCGGTTTCCAACGACGGACAACCTTTTGAATGCCATCACCTCAGCAAGCAATCGTACCTGCATACATACACTACATACAATACGTACAGTACACTGCTCTCAGCTATATCAGAAACACCATTATGATTCACGCCAAGACGGCGAGGATGCATCAAATCTAGATCTCTCACCCCGTCTCAGCTTTGCTGCCAGATCCCAGAGAGATGGCCAAGCACGCGCCTCCATCTGCCTCCACACCAGGGGTCTTCCCTTCCCCAGCCAAGGCAAACCCTCCGAGATTAGCCAATTCTCTCCCAAACCGAAAACCGAACTCTGTTCCGACGCCGCTCTTCTTTGATCTCTCAAACGCGACAGTCGCGGGGTGGATCACGACACACTATCGACAAAAACATTGTTCGCATGATCCACCCGGTGAGAGATGGAGTGGCAAAGTGGTCGTTGGCATCAGATCGAAATCTCGGATGCAGAAAAACCATCGACTTTATTGACAGACTAACGCACCTACGTCCCCAACGGTGGGCTCTTAGGGCTCCGTGGGACGGCAGAGACGGGATTCCGGCATGGGCTGTGACGTAGTCCATTGTAGGACATAGCATACTATGCACACACTCGAGACACACTTCACGGTTACTATTGAGTTCAGCTGGTGGACTTGAGAGGATGCCGAGTGTTGATCGCAATTCCAGCTGGCGGCTGTTGGCAGTGTCAAGGGCTGGTTGCTTGTACTGTGCAGTATGCTACATACAGTAAATGACTGAGTATTAAATCGAAGAAGCGTTGGTTGAGTGTGTTGACTATTCACCGTTCTCGGTTGAACATCTTGTTGTTGACATGACAGAGGACAAGACACATGTTGTGTATCCATTCGTGGTCAGAGATGGAGTGATGTCAGGGACTCGGGTCGGACTGCACAAGCCAAGTTGGAGTGCATAGGTACTGTACATAACACAGGATGAACGAGCTGCATATTCCCGATATGCACACTAATAAGTACTATTTCAACTTCATCGTAGTATGGTGGTTCAGGAACCTGAAGAGACACCCACACGACACCACACCACACCCACCACGGAATGCCAGAGGAATGTCAACAGAAGACACTGGCATGCCACAACGAAGTCAACTGAAAAGAAAGAAGAAGAAAAAAAGGCAGGCTGATGGAGGTGTGGACCCCAAGCAGCCACATAAAGAGAGCACTGACCAATCACACACACCGGGCTTGACAAATCGGGGTCCATCTGTTATGTGAAACAGGGAACGGATGTCGCTAACCGGCCTGAGGCGTTCAGTGGCTGAACCTGGGGGAAAAGATCCACAGGAGACTGCTGCACCCCTGGATTAAGATGGAGGCCGGGCTAATCCCAAAACGAATGGCCAGAGGGCCCCACCGTTGTCAGAAATGCAAACCGCGAAAAGGCAAACTGAAACTGGAAACAACGAGAAACATGCGATCCGGGAAGGCACATTCACACACTGACACGGTACTGACTGTACAGAGCAATACCTTACGGCAGTATCATTCCTACTACTAAGCCTTACAAGGACCAACAAGTAGGATGGGTGTTGTATTCTACTTATTGTGAGGAACAGAAGCAGCTTCAGTCTTCAACACGAAAATGGCTAGGTCAGGATCCGAAAGCCAAGTCATCAACAAGATCCAATACGATGTATTCATTTTGATAATGCCTACACAGTACACTACTGTATAGTAGAGAAGCCAGTAAGTATGGGATAGTAGTAGTAGTACCAAGTGACGGCCGGGACTGATACGATACAGTACTTGCACAGTTACGATACTGTACCGTCAAAGAACGAAGGGAACTGAGGAAGAAAAAAAAAACTAAACTTTTGAAGATGAACAACAATAAGTCCCTTGAATTCCTCCCACTTCTCGCTCTCACCTTCAATCCTCTTCGCTTTTCTTTTCTCCTTTCCTTGACAATCATCTTTGTGTTCACCCTCTCATCATTCATCAATAACCTGGGAATACCACATCCAATCGCGTTCATTACTCTCCACATTCGTTCCCTCGGCGCTGCTACCGTTGCGTTGCCGCATCACCAGCCAACCACAGTCTTTGTCTCGCTCTCCCTCCGTCTCTTTGATGTTGATCACCACTCATCCTTCAAGTTCAAATTTAGAAGAGAAAAAGCTTCGATAAACTCCGGCCATCTGCTCCACTTCACCGACTCTCGTTCGCCAAGGCCGCCCGTCCAGGTCCTGAGATCACCGCCGCGGCCTGTTTCCCCACACATTCCACCAAACCATCGACGGCGACCTGGACCCACCCCTCTGACGTCCGCGTCCAACTACTAGTGCTGTAGTACCTCTTCAGCTATGTCCTTAAGAAGTACGAAGTCGCCAACCGGGCATCGGGGATTCCACCATATCCCTTCCAACACTGACTCCGACGTTGAAATGGATCAACTTAATGATATCCCACTACGACCCATCCGTACCAACGCATCTACTGCCTCGAGGTCCTCCAACGGTGGTGGTGTTCGAAAGGCTGACCAGACTCTCTCCAACACCCTGGGCGGCGCCGTCGACTCATCGTCGTCCCCCACCGAGAAGCATGGCCTCTTTCACAAACCCAGCAAGGCCAGCCACCGCCAGGCCGGGCCTTCTGGACGGCGCCGTGTGCGAGATCTGAGCCGGCCGGGCACCAATATGAGTGAGGATCACAAGCTGAACGCGCTGGGTCGCTTCTATCGCAAGGTTGTCAGCTTTCCCTTCGTCACCCGCTACCTCATCTACATCATCCCCATCGCCTTCCTGTTCGCTATCCCCCTCTTTGTGCTGCCCTTTACGGGCAACGTGGATAACATCCAGCTCGGCACCAGCGACAGCGACAAGGAAAACTACACTCTCTTTTGGCTTTTTCTCTGGATCGAAATCTCGTGGCTGTCGCTCTGGACCGCCAAGCTCGTCGCCCACGTTCTCCCTCACATCTTCATGTTTCTCTGCGGTGTCGTCAGCGCTGGAACCCGCAAGTACGCCAACGTGCTGGCCGCTCTCGAGATCAATTTGTCCTTGTTTCTCTGGCTACTGGCCTCTTGGCTCGTGTTCAAGTTCCGCTTTACAGACGACAGCATCGAATGGGTCCACACCATCAAGCGCATCCTGCTATCCCTCTTCATCTCGTTTGGCGTCTTGCTGGGAGAAAAGGCCATTGTTCAGCTTATCAGCATTTCGTACCACCAACGCTCCTTTCACAACCGCATCCAGGACTCCAAGCGCGACATCTACCTCCTGGGTCTCCTCTACGACGCTTCGAGGACTCTCTTCCCCATGTACTGCCCCGAGTTTGCCGACGAGGACTATGTCATCAGCGATAGTATCAACGCTCTCCTCATGCGCGACCGAGCCGAGAAGATGCGCCCCGGAGGCACCAGCACCCCCATGCGTATTGTCGGCGACGTCCACCGCATCGGCGACAAGATCACCTCGGTGTTCGGCAACATTGCCTCCGAGATCACGGGCAAGAACGTCTTCAACCCCACGTCCGCGCACTCCATCGTCATTGAAGCGCTCGAAAAAGTCCGCAGCTCCGAGGCCATGGCCCGTCGTATCTGGATGTCCTTCGCGGCCGAAGGCGAGGAGGCCCTTTTGCTGGACGACATCATCGAAGTGCTGGGCCCCCACCACCGCGAAGAGGCCGAGGAGTGCTTTAACGCTATCGATGCCGACCAAAACGGCGACATTAGTCTCGACGAGATGATCCGCAAGGTTGTTGATATCGGTAAGGAGAGGAAGGCAATCGCTCACAGCATGAAGGACATCAGTCAAGCCTTGACGGTGTTTGATAAGGTCTTGCTGTTTGTGGTGCTGATCATTGTGATCATTATCTTCTTGGTTGTCTTCCAGAGCAGCTTTGTGACAACTCTGGCCACGGCTGGCACCACGCTTTTGTCGTTGTCCTTCGTTTTCGCCGTTACCACGCAGGAGTTCCTCGGTTCTTGCATCTTCCTGTTCGTCAAGCATCCGTATGATGTTGGCGATCGTGTTGATATCAAGGGTCCCGATGCTGAGCAGCTCATTGTTGAGAAGATCTCTCTCCTCTACACGGTCTTTACCCGTATTGACAAGATGCAAGTTGTTCAGGTATGTCTCTTATCCCTTTTACACCTCTTCTCAACCCTCCTGTCCATATGCTAACGGCCATGTAGGTTCCCAACATCCAACTCAACAACCTCTGGATCGAAAACGTCACGCGATCCAAGGCCATGAAAGAAACCGTCGACGTCGCCGTATCATATGATACCTCATTCGAAGATATTGAGCTTCTCCGCCTCGAACTCGAAAAGTTTGTCCGCTCGCCCGATAATAGCCGTGACTTCCAGCCCGACATCAACATTATGATCAACGACGTCGGCAACTTGGATAAGATGACGCTTAAGATTCAAATCAAGCACAAGTCCAACTGGCACAACGAGGCTGTGCGTTGCACCCGTCGCTCCAAATTCATGTGCGCTTTGGCCTTGGCCCTCAAGGCGGTCCCCATCAACGGCCCCGGCGGTGGTGGTGAGGCGTTGGGCGGTCCTAACAACCCGACTTACTCTGTTGCTGTAACCGATGATTTCGCTGCGACGGCTAGAGAAAAGGCGGACAAGGATAAGGCGGCGGCCAAAATGGTTAACAAACTACGCCAGCAGGAGGATGATGACATTTCGGGCAGCGGCAAAACAGGAAGCAGCAAGCTGGAAGCCGAGCAACAAGCAGTCGCCAACATCAACGCCTCCGATCCCGTCGCCGAGGCGCTAGACGATTGGGGCTACGACAGGGCCACCCTGCGCTCGCGTGACGCTTCCCCCGTCGGCCGCGCCGGTGACGATGCCGCCTCTTCCATCGCCCGCCGGAACTACTTGTCGGTCCGTGAGTCCCAGCGCGGACGCAGAAAACCAGGCGAGGGACTGCCGTCCGGGAATAGGTCCCTGAGCGTGCACGTCACTCGTCCCTCTGTCGGCAGTGGCGTCGGCAGTGGCTTCGGCAGCATTCATAGCCCGAACACTGGCCGCCGCTCCAACCTTTCCTTTGACGTAGAGAGAGGCGAAGCCGGAATCAGCCCCGGTACCTACAGCTACGGCCAGGGATATGCTGGGCAAGGACAGCCAGGGCCGAGTGTGTCGCAATACGCCGGGGCAGCTTATGGCGCGCAACAGAATCAACAACCGATGAGTCCTAGCTCGCCCATCACCAGTGGTGGATTGTACGCGGGACAGTCGACTTTGTCTCCTCTTTCACAGCAGCCACAGACTCCTCAGCCAGTTTACACCGCCCCTGGAGCAACTGCCACGACGGTTCCACCACCGCAGACCTTGCCCGCTCCGTCGCCTATGACGCTCAGCCCAACCCCCACACCCGGTCCAAGCGGGACAAACGGGACAGGAGGACCGGTGGGAGCAAGGCCGAGGGGGGCGAGTATATCTAACCCGACAGCGGGAGTGAACAGACCTACGACAACTACTGCTCCTCCGCAAGGACAGACACAGCAGACTCAGCAGGGACAACCACCGCAAGCCCAACTCCCAGGGAACTTACCCCAGCAAGCTGCGGCCGCAGTGACGGGCTCCGACTTGACTCAAACCCAAACCTCTCACAACCAGGAACACAGATAGAATCAGAAGCACCGCCCTGGTAGTACCGTCCCTGCTGCCCCTGCCCAGTCGGCTCTCCAGGCTCCTCCTGCTCCCCCGGTTCTCCCGATTGGTTAGGGACCCTCGTCACCAGAGAGACCAAAGCCGGCGTCGAGGATGAGATCAGCGACTCATCCTTCCAATTGGCCACAAATACGAAGTCAGAGGGATGAGGAAAGGAGTCAGGGTAGTCGTAGTAGGAGTGGAAGTTCCTGGAGCAAGAAGGAGGAGAATCGGTGGGCAAATTTGCGATTTTGAGATATTTCTTTTTCTTGTAAATTTTATAGCTTATGGGGATGGATATTTGATGTACGATAAAGACGATATTGGGATGGATGGATGGATGGGTGGATGGATACTATTGATACCTAGGTAATCTGAAACTGATACGGGTACTGATCGGGAATGGAACTGGGGCTGGAATTGGGACTGGAAAAAAGACAAGACAAGACATGGAGAAGGCAAACTAGAAGAAGAAGAAGAAGACATAATGCAAGTGAGGCACTGAAGGAATGTCAAATGCTCTGAATGATAAAAAGGCCTGGTTGTGCTGTGGCGGAGCCGAGATGGAGAGGATGATGTTAGATGAGCATACCTTGACCCGTTAGCATATGAAGTAAGACTCTCGAAACAGATTAGAACAACCCACCGTGCACGTACCACCCCTTTACCCATACTATTCTGCTGTGTGCACCCAGTATAAATTTCCTGGACCCAGTCTGCCTGTCCCCATGGGCAGTACACTAGGTACCTGTAGACACTCCTCAATATCTTACCCAAAACCAATATGGTAATATCCATCTACCTTCTAGATCATTGTTTTTAGGAGATAGGGAACATTTCTCAAGATAATCAACCTTATCTCCAAGTTCCGAGCTTTCATTGGAGTGTTACTTTGAAAGTACCCAGACATAGGAGTGGCAATGGAAGAACCAAACGACAACTAAGAGGTTACCTAATAGTAGAAGTCATATCACACGCACCAAGGGTTGTGAATCACGCACTACATGTAAGAAAGCTTTTTGCACGCGTTAAGATGGATGGCTTTGTTTCCTCATTGTCCTATATTAGGATGAAAGTAGACTGCATCGTTCATTCATCTTACTCCCTACCCCCTTTGATCCCTTTTCAAATCCAATTGAGCCAATAGTCCCAATAGCCGAGAGAGCTGCGGGTGGGAGTCGGGGTAATAGTGACGGTGACGGTGTGGGTGGTGGGTGGGTGAATGATGGGGGCGACGATGGGGACGATGACGGTGGGGGTGAAGGGGACGCTGAAAACCCAGTCGCCGATGACGACGGGCATGTTTGTGTGGGGATGACCATGGTAATATCGGTGACTGTGGTGATCTCAGCGGTGACGGTTTCGGTGACCGCGTTGTAGGTGGTGGTGGCGGCGGGGGCGCAGGTGGTGACGAGATGCTGGTAGAAAACGCAGAATCCGGGAATGGTGGTGGAGCTCATGGTTGCGATGGTGGTGCAGCGCCAGTGAGTATGTCAGTGTGCGTGTGTGTGTGTGCAGTTTTGGTTGTGTTGGGAGCCGAAGGAGAGAATCACGATGAGAAAAATGAACTGTGTCTCGGGTCTTACTATATGTAGACCACTGCAACAATCCTGCAGGGTCCATCTCTGTCAGTCCGTCTTCATGAGTGTTGAGGTTCCAAATGGGATGCTTCTGGGTCACGCCAGTACAGCCTTGAACTCTCAAAGGTGATGTGTGATGAATTGAAGGCAGAGAGCAGGGACATTTTCAGATGCCTCTACCGTCAGTCAATTTTGAAGTTGGAAGGCGCACACTACACATTCCATCTTCTTGCCCAAGGGCATGAATTCCCTGAAACGCAACATTCCGGTCCTGCCAGTTCATGGAAAAACGGAACAAAGAGCTGTGTGGCAGGGATTCCCTTAGGACACTCAAAAAGACCCTTCAAAACCTTGTTTTGATGGTGAAAGTGAGTGTGATGGCGCCATGATGGGACGACATGTTCATAGCCTATGAAAACCTGTCAGATCCTTGGTTTTTCTTTCAGAACCCTCTAAGCCTCCTGATCAAAATCATAACTATTTCCAAACCCCCTATTCAGATACCTCTCCAACACCTCCTCCCTCCCGACCCAATCCACCGGCACCTCCAACCCCAGATCCTCCCGCTCCAGCACGGGCCTCACATCCTCCCCCAACTCTAACCTCATCCGATTCCGATACCACGGCGCAAAATGAATCATGGCCAGCATGATCCGCACCTCCCCGGAAGTCCGGTTCGGCATCCCCGCATGCCACAGCCGCAGGTCCCGCACCACGATACTCCCCTTCCTCACCGTCGGCTGGCACGGCGCGCGCGCGCACCGCCGCCCGCCGCGCCAGAAGCTCCGGGCGGATGCGCTCGCTGGCACGCTCGCCGTGGGCACCCTCCTGCGCCGCGTGGCCACTGCTATCCTCCCCGACGAGGTTGTGCGTGCCTAGCCAGAGCTCGGTGGATCCGTTGTCAGGCGTCATGGTGATGAGGGGCACGTTGATGACGAGCGCAAAGGGGTGCGCCGGGTGGGCGAAGTCGGCGTCTGAGTGGACGGGTTGGCGCTGAGGGTCCGCGCCAGGGAGGGGCGGCATGGCGGCGTTGGCGGAGCAGAAGGTCCATTTGGGGCGCGGGCCGAGGATATGGGAGGTTATCTGGGTTGCGATGGGGTCTAGAGAGGGGAGTCAGGTTGTACAACACAAAGTACATGCAGAATGGTGAGGACGTACTGGCGAAAACCGAGGTGGAAAAGTACTCGGCTACCGGAGGGGCGTCTTGTTGGAGATTCCCCTGGTTGTAGTTGAAGGGGCCGTCTTTGCCGCGAGCCTGCAGGGTGCGGGCATCTTGAACCATCTTGCGGTTCAGGTGGTCTAGGTCATTTAGAGGAACGGCATCCTCAACGACGACTAGGCCATCGCGGTGCATGTGGTGAACGGCTGCCTCGAGGTTACGAGGGTTGAGCTGCCGCTGCTGCTGTTCGGCGAGAGAGGGCTTGATGACGTGGGGAAGATTCAGGGGCCCTGACGTGGTTGTCGCAAAGGACCTGCATCTTTGGGTCCTTGAAGCCAAGCACAGCAGCCGTCGAGGAGCAAGCATGTTGAAGATGCTGAGATGGGTCCTGCCGTTTTCGATAGCAGGGTGCATAGAGGTAATAAGTCAAGACCACCACTGGGACAGCTCACAGCTTGCAGCACGTGGCCCAACGAGTTCTCTTATACTTCATTCCCGGGTGGTCCAGTGGTTGAAATCCGATCTCGGGATAAACTGCCGGTTCACATTCCTCTACCACCCGATTCAAGACTGCTGAGTGCTGTAGCGCTGTGCAGGATATTAGTGGAGGAACTGTCGCTACCTCTATTTCTCGATTGAGCAGTGCTGGCTTAGAATGATATGGTAGCTCGGTGACGAGATACTACCTACGAGTATAGTGATCTAAAAACCATGTTGTCCTGCTCCTGCCTCTGTCTCTCTCTCTCTTCTTCGATCTCCCTCAGCAGTCCTTCAGCTCTCTCAGCCCTTCTTTCCATTTCCTTCTTCTCTGTCTCGGCCTTCTCGGCCTTCTCCTCAGCCTCTTGAACCATCTTCGCATCATCCTCCGCCCTTATTTTCAAATCTCTGGTCACCCGGGCCAGCCTCTCTTCAGCCTTCTTGGCCCTTTGTCTCCACGTCTCCTTCTCAGCCCTCTCATTCCCAATCTCAACCTCGGTTCTCCTCACCCGCTCCTCCGCCGCTAGCGCCCTGTCCGTCTGCTCAACCACAGCCTGCTGCGCCTGCTCCCTCTTCTCCTTCTCCTTCTCCATCTCCCTTTTGTTATAAAAATAATCAAGCACAGCAGATGTGCCCATGACTACTTGATATAACAGCGTGGTGATCTTTTCCCATGAAAACATGTTTTTCCTGGGTTGTTGTTGTTGTTGTTGTTGTTGTTGTTGTTGTTGTTGTTGTTGTTGTTGTTGTTGTATTCCAGTGCCCTATCAAGTCCAGTTCGTCAGTCAGTGTATGTGGTTTCAGTGTGATGTGGTTGGAGATTAGAAAAAAAAAAAAAAAAAAAAGAAAAAAAAAAAAAGGCCAGCAAAACGAATTGGCAGCAAAGGGAGGAAATTGTTTATTATAGTCTCTTACCAGTTTGGTCGCTCACTAAAACTATGAGGTCTGCCTGGACCTTCCTTTTCGATTATCACATAACATGATCAAGGACATGGAGGGCAGGAACTGTCAATTGCTCGCTTTCACTACCTGATCGCACACTTCATGTGTAATAAATAGAATACGCCTATATGATGAGGATGCTCTTGCATGCACTCATTGATCTTGAATACACCTTTGACTCCAGTCGAAATTCAAAACCTTCCACTTTCTAGGAGCAAAGAATCCCCAACAGACCCGGGCTCGTCCCTGACAGGATTGATGCTGATGGCACCCGAGTCCACTACCCAGATAACTAAACTGGGCTAAAACACTACGGAAATCAATAATTTGTGTTGCTACCTAGCGCGTCGAATACCTAGCAAAGGTGCCTTCCAAAAATTTGCAGTCATGTAAGACTCGGGATGTTTACATGTACCTAGTCATTCCATTTGTCGAAGGTAGTTTCCTGCGTTTAGACTGCCCAACTTGAAGTTTCAATTTGGACTTGGGTGATGCCAATTTTGTTAGGGACGAGCCTAGCCAATGTGCCTCCCACTTTGTATGACTCAGAGCCGGAGTCATATTACAATCACATTACTGCGACGGCCTTTCTTGACGAAGGCGAGTGGTCTTGGTCTGTCTATTTTCGGTTTACACTTAGCATCACTCAACCCTTTCCCTCTCACAGTTTAGAGCGTACACGAAGAGAGGTACCCTTTTAGTCCTTGCACTACAAGCAATATCCTACATGTATTTGAAAGATTTCGTCTGATACTGGAAAATAGGATCACCATGGACAATACTAGATCAGATGGATTTCCTTGGGGATGCTTCTTGCTCTATTTAGCAGGTACTTGTACTGATGTATTTTTCTCTCCAGTCAACCTAGCAAGTTGCTATCAAGTACCGCAGAAACCTGAAAAGTTGGTTATCTCTATATTAATATACGTCTTCAAGCGCTAACCTGTCCTAAGAATTTGTTCATTGACTTTTCCCGTGGCCTTGTTCCCATTCTCGGAACGACCTGCAAGTTTCTCGTGCAGATGACTGCGGAGTGGAGTGGAAAGAGTTCTTGCAGGTGCTCATTAGAAAACTGAGGGGTACCTGAGGTCTGGTATTCTTCCGTACCTACATGTTACGTCATGGTAGGTACCTAGGTATTTAAAGGGTGCCTGCCTGCCACCTTCCCCAGGCAGTTCCGTTCCCTTCCCCAACTCCAACGTGTTTTGCTCTTACTTTCCACTTTCTCCTATTACTTCAAGAATCCCCACCTCCGACTTCTCCGGTGTTGTCTTTCTTAATTCGATCAAGAATCACCACCATGTTGTTCCAGAAGTTACTCGATACGCTTCGGCTCCTTTGGGCGTCCAAATGTGAATCCAAGGGCGCCGGGGACGAGCCTGGAAGGAGTCCACTTCGACAACCATCACCACCACCACCCCCGTACAAAGCAGTTACTACCGCCGCCATCCTTCCGTCTCTCGAGCGGCCTGCCGACGCCCTTCTGCGGAAGGCCACTTTCGACCGAACCAAGCTCGTTCTCACCCACAAGGGCAGATCCGTTCTCTTCGTCTACTACCTCCTGTTAGAAGAAGCGCTTCATTCCGTCAAGATTTCATTTAAGTTCATATGCGCTCAGCTTCCGCGACATGGCGCAGAGGGCACGCCAGCCGCTAACCGCGCCATGGTCAACGCAGCCGGCAACTACGCATTTCTGCTGGCTTTACTACACGTCAGCAAACAGTGTAACATTTCCAAGGGGCGCCTGTCGTTGCCGGTCAACGAGGCGGTGCACGCCATACGTGAGCATGTGAAAGGCGAAATGGTGAAGGATTTGATGCAGGGTGATAGATATCAAGAACAAAGACACGTGATGCAACAGCTGGTGGACAGGGTGGAGGATCACCTCGTTCAGGCTGCGCCATATGTAATCGACGATCGATACGATACTCGGGGAACGAAAAGGGTACGAGACAGCGTCGACACTGGTGAGCTGGACGTGTGGAAGGTGCAGGAGTGTTGGCGCTTGTTCAAGAGTGTACTTGTTGAGAACTGCGGCGACCTGCTCCCGCCTCCTGGCTTCGACAAATATGGGGGCAAATCCCAGACTGCGTTACGACGACTCAGTCTGTCAAAAGGTACCTTCTACCACTCCATGGCTTTATCATTTTGGGAAGGTGTTCGAAATGTACTGTAGCCATCATCCCGTGCGAGCCCTTGGTGCTCTCTGTGGCACACAGATTCTCTGAGTCTGATTTTGTAAAGTACGAGTATATCAGCTCCCCTCCAAACGTCATGTCTTCCACTTCTTTTATCTTCCTTTCTAGTCACTGGTAGTAGTGCCCTCCAAGAGACCGAACATCCAACTGCTTCATCTTCCTTTCGAGTGTCTTTCACCGCCCAGCTCTGTGTCGACACAAACACTACCTAAGCTTGACATCTCCCACGCCTCACGGCAACTTCAGCTGGGTGTTGCATAAGCAGCTTGCGTCATGGGGAACTGCCCTAATCGGCGTCATCAACGAGGTACGTCTGTCATTCCCTCAGCCCCCGGCACACCCGCCATGCTCATTCAGCGACTGACCCATACACCCGTCTAGTGCCTCGAGACCGAAAACACCCACCTACATGTACCTTTTTCCATCAGCATCACACTTGCTTTCGGCGTGACCTCGATCTGGCATCCACAGCGGCACAGCCCATGAGAAGGTCTCGACAACAAGCACCATCCGCCGACCCCTACACTTCCTCATCGTGCTCCAAATCTGTGCAATTTCGGCTTTCGACATACATGGGCTGTCTTGTGGTATCGACGACTGCAGAGTTCAGCACCCTTCTCAATCACAGTTCTTCTCGATCAACATACAGCTTGCTGTCAAGTTCCCTACAATGGTCAGTTCCAACTTCCCTCCGTGTCAGTGTATGTGTCAGTGTGGTGTGTGCCTTGTCTTCACATCTTTACGAAGACCCCTTTCTACACTTCTCTTTCACAATTCTCTTTTCATCTCCCATATGGAGCTATTCTTGTTCGGGTCTCTCGCCTGTTGCTTGTCTTTCCACAACCCCCTCGCCGTATTGGCGATCCTCTTACGCCTGAGCCTTTGTGCTCTTCAGCAATTTCCTGCCATCCAACAAGATGTAAGTCTACAGTCCAGTCATTACCTGATACCTGACACCGAAGCATGCCTAACTTCTGTGTCCCAGAAACAAACGTCCTTCATAAGCCAGTACACTGCCGAAGATGGAACTACTATCGCTCTAACCCCTGCCACCACCGCTACCTCCACCACTTTCTTCCCCCTAGGAATGACCGAAGAGCTGTGAGAGAGGAGGAGATGAAGATGGGTACGAGGGACAGAGATAGAAAGAGACAGAGACACAATGTTGGTTTAGAAAAGCCGTTGCAAAACTGTGATAGGGATTACGACAATTCGAAAACACATTAGCCAAAGTCGCTTTGGGTTATTTCTAACTAGGAGTTGCCTAAAAACTACCTCTAAGTTCAAAGGTGTATCAAAGACGCTTGGATGCGTAGTCAGAGTAGACCAGAGGTATAATATGAAAAATCTTAGCAGTTTTGTCAGGGACGAGCCTCACTAAGACCTTTGGCTGGCCTGTACAATGAATAATCGCGGCTGGAGTTGCAGGCCAGTTGGCGAACCAGGCTACGTGATACCCCTGAAAGTACGACCCCAAACGGCCTGTTAATCCCGAGCTTGGGTTTGGCGGCTGGGAGCCCAATCAGTAGGTATATATCTCTATATATCAGTTCGACTTCTATCGGATTGAATCATCAACAAAATTTAGTACGGTTGGCATTGCTTACAAAAATATCTGATCGAAACATGAGTGATGGGAGAAGAGTATACACGCCTGGCAAACAGAAACACCAAGGTATCTCAAATACCTAACAACACTCACCCCTCCACCCTTAGCTCTTAACTTCGCCGACATGGACATCCCGCTCAGTTCCTAACCCTTGATCAATCGCCCCTTAACAACCCCCATCTCCTCCTCCAAGCCCTTCAACTTCGCCTGCCCACCCTTCATCTTCTCCAGCAGGTACTCCACCCGCTCGCTCACATCGCCGGGCCTCCTCGCCATCAGTCCCTGCAGCATCACCAGCTCCTGCTCGACCTTTTCGATCTTTTGCGTTTCCATCTTGGCCAGCTCGGTCAACACCAGCAAGTCCATGCGCGCTTTGACCTTTTCGTCGCTCGCCAGCTTCTGGAAGGCTGCCTGGTAAACTGGTTTACCGGCCTTGATCTCCGAAGGCATGCCGTTTTGTGATTTGACGGTTATCAACTCTGCGTTGGCCAGCGCCTCGAGGGCTGTTTCGGGTGACGACGCAAAGGTGTTGGAGAGAAGGACGGAGTTGTAAGGGATCGAAGAGGAGGGGGAAGCAGCGAGATGGGAGATCAGGTACCAGGCTTGTTCGGTCGTGTACTTTCTTTCGGAAGAGGAAGACTTGGATAAGAGGAACATGCGCAGGATGTCGGAGGCGGTCGAGTCGATGATCTCTTGCACGGCCTTTCGCGGGGATTGCCCGATCTTCAGACGGCGGGCAAGAACTTGCAGGTCTGTGAGGCGGCCACCGAGGGCGGTGATGCAGGTGTCTAGTTCTTTGAGGAGGGCTGGGTCCAGGGGGGCCGGGGTGTTGGAGTCCTTCTTTTGGTTTTTGTTGTCATTATCCTGATCGCCCGATTCCGAATCCTTCTGCTGCCCGTCATGCGCAAACTTGGTGTCCGTCTGCAGCTGGGAGATGACGAATTTCTTGGCTACGTCAGGAGACAGGTCGCCGAGGGTCACGGAGCGGAAGACGCGGTCGGGAAGGGATCTCTGAAGAGGCTTGGAGTAGGAGGCATCGTCCGTCAGGAAAATGACATGGGCAATGTTGGACTGCACCAACGCCGCGGCCCAGTCGGCGATACGGTCGTAGATGACACCCTTCTCCTCACTCTTGTGGAGGAAGTGATCAATGACGATCACTGGACGCCGTTCGGGGTGAGCTTCTAGGTACGCATCCTCCGAGAGATCGGCATCCTTGTCTTCCTTCTTGCGCTCTGAAAGACCGACTTGCTTAAGCGCCGATGCGGTCGTCTGCAAAATCTTGACGACTTGCGATTCCAGGTTCTCGGAGAAGTTAGCTTTCACTCCCGTGGTGCTTTGCACGGCGAGGTCGACTAGGCTGCTGATGTTGTTGGACCAAGAGAACACAGGACGGTAACCGACTTCGAAGGCGAGACGACCGATGGTTCCCGCTTCACCGCGCGCTTCCACGACCGGCTTGCAATCAATATGCAACACATTACTGCGTTCCTTGAGCACTTGATCGAGGATGAGTTCCTTCTTGCCGGAGCCGCGCGGACCATGGACGACAGTGAATGTATCGACAGACTCGAGAAGGCCGGTTTGGATGGAGTCGATCAGGTCTTTGCGGTGGGTGAAGAGGGCGTTGAGACCGGCGTCTTCGGTCTTGCGCCGACGAAAGGCGAGGATATCGGACGTCTGGGACTTGAACCATTTGTAGAGACGGGAGTTTGTGAACTCAAAGTATTTTTGGACGTGTGCCTATGGAACTAAACGTTAGCAGTTGTTTACCTCTACACCCGCTGGGATGCGATCGCGTTCAGAAGTACAACATCTCGACCGCAGCTTCAACAAGGTCCGCTGGCTCAATGGCAGAGCGTCTGACTACGAATCAGGAGGTTCCAGGTTCGACCCCTGGGTGGATCGAGTTGTTTATCTTTTTGGCGATGGAGACTTGGCGATCAGGGATATGATGTTTTCTTTTTTTGCACACACCTTGACAAAGAACTCCCGAATGGGATCAAACACAGCAACAGTAAAGGCCGCTATCAGGGCGGCGACGAGCGGGATCACGATCCTAGGGTGGCTTGTGAACCAGGCCCAGATGTGATGGGCCTTGACTCGTTGCTCGTACGAAAGCCGTAACTTTGTTGCATTCTTACTTCCCTGTTCGCGCAAGACGAACCCATGCATGCAATTCCTTGCCATGATGGCGTCTCGGACCAGGACGAAGTCGATGTAGGCAAAGCGGGGCAAGACTTTGGAGTCTGTCGGCTGAGACGTGATTTCAGTGATCTTGCCGAATTTGCGGAAGATGCTGTAGAGCGTTTCCTGCGACAGTTCGGCCGGAGATGCATCGTCCTTGGCGGCCACAAACTCAACCCGTATACGGCTGCGAGGAAGTCTGTACAGGTCTTCTAGCCAGGGAACGCCTTCAACGAGGCCCGCCTTAACCCTGCCGAAGGGGTTGAACCATGGTTTTATGGGGTTGTTCTGTAGGAGTTCGGACAGTTTGCTTTCGACTACGGCAGCGGACATGTCACTTGGATGAGTGAACTTGACGAATGCGCCGCCATCCTTGAGGCGAGGGATGATCTGGGTGACCTCGATGGGGACTTGATCGTGGGTGTTGATAGCTCGCTTGACTAGTCTGATGGGGTCGATGAAACTGTAGGAGGATTGTTCGAAGCGTTGGAGGAGGTCCTCGCTCGTCCATGGCCGCCAGATGAGGATGGAGCTGAGCTTGAGGGGAAAGAGGTCTGTTCGTGTTAATCTTGAGTGAGTGAGGGTGTGAGATGGGGTGGACTCACTGTTGAAGAACAAGAGGGATTCGTGAGGGGCAGTGTCAATATGGCCGCTCTCCTTGTGAGAACCGGTGGAAGCCGTCGAGGATGAGGTGCTCTCCCAAGCTCGGATCGTTCTCTTGTGAGCGAGTGGGAGCCCTTGGCCAAGTGAACGTTGGACCAAGAGGGCAGTAGAGTGAGTGGTGAACCTGGGACCCCCGTGGCCAGGTCTTGTCGCCTGCCGGGAGAGAATGTGTGCTGATATCATTGCAGGTTCATCGTATGGTTGAAAGAATGTGGCGGGAGTGGTAGTGTAGGAAGTCAAAAAGTGAGGTACTGTACCTACCTAGCTACCCCGCCTTACCACAACATGGCGACAGCAGGGTAGGAGATAACCTAGTCCACAAGTAGTGTAGAGTAAACACGCCCGTTCAAGGCTTTGATCTCCTCAACTGATCCCTGGAAGCGGTTACATATCCAGGTGAGCCAGGTAGGTACCTTGAGCTGACCATTGAGGTGCAACGTCATCGGGAGGGGCATTGCCAAGCCCTTTATCGTCCATTCGGCTGTGATAACGGGTGCGCCGTTGCCTGCCGCGGCTCCCGACATTTTCCTCCACTGACAGTCTGATTGGCCCAGATTGTTCATCTTTCTCGCTGGAAGCACTTGATGCCGCGCAACATCAACAATAAAAAGTGAAGACTGGTAACA